TCTATAGTCTAGTCTATAGTCTAGTCTATAGTCTAGTCTATAGTCTAGTCTATAGTCTAGTCTATAGTCTAGTCTATAGTCTAGTCTATAGTCTAGTCTATAGTCTAGTCTATAGTCTAGTCTATAGTCTAGTCTATAGTCTAGTCTATAGTCTAGTCTATAGTCTAGTCTATAGTCTAGTCTATAGTCTAGTCTATAGTCTAGTCTATATTCTAGTCTATAGTCTAGTCTATAGTCCAGTCTATAGTCCAGTGTATAGTCTAGTCTATAGTCTACTCTATAGTCTAGTCTATAGTCTACTCTATAGTCTACTCTATAGTCTACTCTATAGTCTACTCTATAGTCTAGTCTATAGTCTAGTCTATAGTCTAGTCTATAGTCTAGTCTATAGTCTAGTCTATAGTCTAGTCTATAGTCTAGTCTATAGTCTAGCCTATAGTCTAGTCTATAGTCTAGTCTATAGTCTGGTCTATAGTCTAGTCTATAGTCTAGTCTATAGTCTAGTCTATAGTCTAGTCTATAGTCTAGTCTATAGTCTAGTCTATAGTCTAGTCTATAGTCTAGTCTATAGTCTAGTCTATAGTCTAGTCTATAGTCTAGTCTATAGTCTAGTCTATAGTCTAGTCTATAGTCTAGTCTATAGTCTAGTCTATAGTCTAGTCTATAGTCTAGTCTATAGTCTAGTCTATAGTCGAGTCTATAGTTTAGTCTATAGTCTCTATAGTCTAGTCTATAGTCTAGTCTATAGTCTAGTCTATAGTCTAGTCTATAGTCTAGTCTATAGTCTAGTCTATAGTCTAGTCTATAGTCCAGTCTATAGTCTAGTCTATAGTCTATAGTCTAGTCTATAGTCTAGTCTATAGTCTAGTCTATAGTCTAGTCTATAGTCTAGTCTATAGTCTAGTCTATAGTCTAGTATATAGTCTAGTCTATAGTCTAGTCTATAGTCTAGTCTATAGTCTAGTCTATAGTCTAGTCTATAGTCTAGTCTAGTCTATAGTCTAGTCTATAGTCTAATCTATAGTTTAGTCTATAGTCTAGTCTATAGTCTAGTCTATAGTCTAGTCTATAGTCTAGTCTATAGTCTAGTCTATAGTCTAGTCTATAGTCTAGTCTATAGTCTAGTCTATAGTCTAGTCTATAGTCTAGTCTATAGTCTAGTCTATAGTCTAGTCTATAGTCTAGTCTATAGTCTAGTCTATAGTCTAGTCTATAGTCTAGTCTATAGTCTAGTCTATAGTCTAGTCTATAGTCTAGTCTATAGTCTAGTCTATAGTCTAGTCTATAGTCTAGTCTATAGTCTAGTCTATAGTCTAGTCTATAGTCTAGTCTATAGTCTAGTCTATAGTCTAGTCTATAGTCTAGTCTATAGTCTAGTCTATAGTCTAGTCTATAGTCTAGTCTATAGTCTAGTCTATAGTCTAGTCTATAGTCTAGTCTATAGTCTAGTCTATAGTCTAGTCTATAGTCTAGTCTATAGTCTAGTCTATAGTCTAGTCTATAGTCTAGTCTATAGTCTAGTCTATAGTCTAGTCTATAGTCTAGTCTATAGTCTAGTCTATAGTCTAGTCTATAGTCTAATCTATAGTTTAGTCTATAGTCTAGTCTATAGTATAGTATATAGTCTAGTCTATAGTCTAGTCTATAGTCTAGTCTATAGCCTAGTCTATAGTCTAGTCTAGTCTATAGTCTAGTCTATAGTCTAGTCTATAGTCTAGTCTATAGTCTAGTCTATAGTCTAGTCTATAGTCTAGTCTATAGTCTAGTCTATAGTCTAGTCTATAGTCTAGTCTATAGTCTAGTCTATAGTCTAGTCTATAGTCTAGTCTATAGTCTAGTCTATAGTCTAGTCTACAGTCTAGTCTATAGTCTAGTCTATAGTTTAGTCTATAGTCTAGTCTATAGTCTAGTCTATAGTCTAGTCTATAGTCTAGTCTATAGTCTATAGTCTAGTCTATAGTCTAGTCTATAGTCTAGTCTATAGTCTAGTCTATAGTCTAGTCTATAGTCTAGTCTATAGTCTAGTCTATAGTCTAGTCTATAGTCTAGTCTATAGTCTAGTCTATAGTTTAGTCTATAGTCTAGTCTATAGTCTAGTCTATAGTCTAGCCTATAGTCTAGTCTATAGTCTAGTCTATAGTCTAGTCTATAGTCTAGTCTATAGTCTAGTCTATAGTCTAGTCTATAGTCTAGTCTATAGTCTAGTCTATAGTCTAGTCTATAGTCTAGTCTATAGTCTAGTCTATAGTCTAGTCTATAGTCTAGTCTATAGTCTAGTCTATAGTCTAGTCTATAGTCTAGTCTATAGTCTAGTCTATAGTCTAGTCTATAGTCTAGTCTATAGTCTAGTCTATAGTCTAGTCTATAGTCTAGTCTATAGTCTAGTCTATAGTCTAGTCTATAGTCTAGTCTATAGTCTAGTCTATAGTCTAGTCTAGTCTATAGTCTAGTCTATAGTCTAGTCTATAGTCTAGTCTATAGTCTAGTCTATAGTCTAGTCTATAGTCTAGTCTATAGTCTAGTCTATAGTCTAGTCTATAGTCTAGTCTATAGTCTAGTCAATAGTCTAGTCTATAGTCTAGTCTATAGTCTAGTCTATAGTCTAGTCTATAGTCTAGTCTATAGTCTAGTCTATAGTCTAGTCTATAGTCTAGTCTATAGTCTAGTCTATAGTCTAGTCTATAGTCTAGTCTATAGTCTAGTCTATAGTCTAGTCTATAGTCTAGTCTATAGTCTAGTCTATAGTCTAGTCTATAGTCTAGTCTATAGTCTAGTCTATAGTCTAGTTTATAGTCTAGTTTATAGTCTAGTCTATAGTCTAGTCTATAGTCTAGTCTAGTCTAGTCTAGTCTAGTCTAGTCTAGTCTAGTCTAGTCTAGTCTAGTCTAGTCTAGTCTAGTCTAGTCTAGTCTAGTCTAGTCTAGTCTAGTCTAGTATATAGTCTAGTCTATAGTCTAGTCTATAGTCTAGTCTAGTCTAGTCTATAGTCTAGTCTATAGTCTAGTCTAGTCTATAGTCTAGTCTAGTCTATAGTCTAGTCTAGTCTATAGTCTATAGTCTAGTCTAGTCTAGTCTAGTCTAGTCTAGTCTAGTCTAGTCTATAGTCTAGTCTAGTCTAGTCTATAGTCTATAGTCTATAGTCTAGTCTAGTCTATAGTCTAGCCTAGTCTATAGTCTAGTCTAGTCTATAGTCTAGCCTAGTCTATAGTCTAGTCTATAGTCTAGTCTATAGGCTAGTCTATAATCTAGTCTATAGTCTAGTCTATAGTCTAGTCTATAGTCTAGTCTATAGTCTAGTCTATAGTCTAGTCTATAGTCTAATCTATAGTGTAGTCTATAGTGTAGTCTATAGTGTAGTCTATAGTCTAGTCTATAGTCTGGTCTGTAGTCTAGTCTATAGTCTTTAGTCTAGTCTATAGTCTAGTCTATAGTCCAGTCTATGTCTAGTCTATAGTCTAGTCTATAGTCTAGTCTATAGTCTAGTCTATAGTATAGTCTATAGTCTAGTCTATAGTCTAGTCTATAGTCTAGTCTATAGTCTAGTCTATAGTCTAGTCTATAGTCTAGTCTATAGTCTAGTCTATAGTCTAGTCTATAGTCTAGTCTATAGTCTAGTCTATAGTCTAGTCTATAGTCTAGTCTATAGTCTAGTCTATAGTCTAGTCTAGTCTAGTCTATAGTCTAGTCTATAGTCTAGTCTATAGTCTAGTCTATAGTCTAGTCTATAGTCTAGTCTATAGTCTAGTCTATAGTCTAGTCTAGTCTAGTCTATAGTCTAGTCTATAGTCTAGTCTATAGTCTAGTCTATAAGTCTAGTCTATAGTCTAGTCTATAGTCTAGTCTATAGTCTAGTCATAGTCTAGTCTATAGTCTAGTCTATAGTCTAGTCTATAGTCTAGTCTCTAGTCTAGTCTAGTTAGTCTATAGTCTAGTCATAGTCTAGTCTTCTAGTCTAGTCTATAGTCTAGTCTATAGTCTAGTCTATAGTCTAGTCTATAGTCCTAGTCTATAGTCTAGTCTACAGTCTAGTCCTATATTTTAGTCTACATTCTAGTCTCTGGACTAATCTATAGTCTAGTATATAGTCTAGTCCTGTAGTCTTGTATTAGTCTATTTATTTCAGTTTATAGTTTAATCTATAGCCTGTAGTCTTATTTGTCTATAGTCAGTCTATAGTTTAGTCCTATAGTCTAGTATATAGTCTTGTATTAAGTCTATTCCAGTTTATAGTGATTGTCTACAGTCTAGTCTATAGTCTAGTCTATAGTTTAGTCTATAGTCTAGTATATAGTCCTAGTCTATAGTCTTGTCTATGGTCTAGTATATAATCTAGTCTCTAGTCTGTATTAAGTCTATTCAAGTTTATAGTCTAGTTTATAGTTTAATCTATAGCCTAGTCTATAGTGTTGTTTGTCAAGCCTATAGTTTACTCTATAGTTTAGTCTATAGTCTACTCTAGAGTCGCATAATGGTTCATGAAAGCTTAGTCTATATCTAGTCTAATGTCACATAGCTTTCAGCGCAACTTTGTTGCATTATCGTAATTTCGTTTAAAATAATTTTAAGTTTTAGTTTTAAAGTTTATTGATATTTATTTTAACATATGTTATTTTTCTTTTTTTTAACTTTTAGCTGGGAAGACAATAGAAACACAACTTACAACTTGAATTTCCATTGTATTGAGTCAATCCCCCACCCATACAAATGTAAAAGCAACAAAAAATACATAAATAACTCAAATATAATAAAATACCAAAGTTAAAACAATCTATAAGATTTAACATACGATTTTGGAAAGAATTTTCAAAACTTGTTGCTGGAATAAAAATAAAACACAACATGTAGAAATAAACAAAATAAAAAAAATAATTGAAAAATATTTTAGTAGATTGCAAATAAGTTAAAAAAAATAAATTTAACATGCAATATAATTAAATCAAAGTTTTGGAAATAAATGTTATAAAAATCACAAAATAGCGTGCCTTAAAATAAAGTTTGAAAATAAAAATATTGGAAATACTAGTGAATAATTAATAAGAAAAAAAGTGGAAAATTGTTATGAAAAGAAAATAAATTTTTTGCTAAAATGCCAAAAAATTAAAATAAATTTATAAATGTGCAGTTGGTACCACAAAATAAAAAGTGATTCAATGGTTTAATTTACAAAAAAAATAAAAAAATTAATAAATAAATCAAACTTTAAATAAAATATACCGCCAATTATTGAACGATTTTTCATAAAAAACGTTACGTTTATTTTTGTTAAAGACGATCGACCGACGTCTACTCTAACGGCGATTGGTATGTTGTATGAGGTGGGGCACCACCACCACATATTGCCTGAGTATTAAGATGATGTTGCATGGATTGCATGTCTTAAACTGTTTCTATGCCCATTGATTTTTTATAAAGTTTTGCATAAAAATTTTATAATTGCTGTTACAATTCAAAATCATTTAATTAACATCAGCAGTCAGCCAGCCAGTCACTGAGTAACAACAATAATAAAAGAAAATTTCCAAACAAAATTTTGAAAAAAAAAATTATCATAATCCATTATGGAGGCCTCTGAAGTTTTGTATTCAACGCCAACAGCAGCAGCAGCATTGGCAGCAACAAATGCATTGTCAAATGAAATGTCATTAACACCCACAACACAAACTCAACTGCTGCAACAACAACAACAGCAACCAACACCACTATCACCTTTAGTTATAACAACTACAACAACATCAACAGCAGCACATTCACCAGCTGCAGCACCCATAACACCAACAACACCGAGGACAACCACTCATACGCCAAGAGAAATACCAACCATGTACATTTTAGATCAAATGTACGATGATTATATGGATCAATGTAAGTTCAATAATAATAATAATAATCATTTTAATAATTTAAATTATTTACTGTTGATACACCCTTTCCTTTGCTCATTTTTAGAAATTTGAAAATAATTAAATTTTGACTAGACTAGAGCTAACCAGGACTAGTTTAGAGTAAAAGAACAATTGTAGTTGAGATCTAGTTCAGTTCTAGTTCAGTTCTAATTTCAGTTCTAATTCAGTTCTAATTCAGTTCTAGTTCAGTTCTAGTTCAGTTCTAGTTCAGTTCTAGTTCAGTTCTAGTTCAGTTTTCTAGTTCAGCAGTTCTAGTTCAGTTCTAGTTCAGTTCTCGTTCAGTTCTAGTTCAGTTCTAGTTCAGTTCTAGTTCAGTTCTAGTTCAGTTCTAGTTCAGTTCTAGTTCAGTTCTAGTTCAGTTCTAGTTCAGTTCTAGTTCAGTTCTAGTTCAGTTCTATAGTCAGTTCTAGTTCAGTTCTAGTTCAGTTCTCAGTTCAGTTCTAGTTCAGTTCTAGTTCAGTTCTAGTTCAGTTCTAGTTCAGTTCTAGTTCAGTTCTAGTTCAGTTCTAGTTCAGTTCTAGTTCAGTTCTAGTTCAGTTCTAGTTCATTTCTAGTTCAGTTCTAGTTCAGTTCTAGGTTCAGTTCTAGGTTCAGTTCTAGTTCAGTTCTAGTTCAGTTCTAGTTCAGTTCTAGTTTTTTCAGTTCTAGTTTCTAGTTCTAGTTCTAGTTCTAGTTCAGTTCTAGTTCAGTTCTAGTTCAGTTCTAGTTCAGTTCTAGTTCAGTTCTAGTTCAGTTCTAGTTCAGTTCTAGTTCAGTTCTAGTTCAGTTCTAGTTCAGTTCTAGTTCAGTTCTAGTTCAGTTCTAGTTCAGTTCTAGTTCAGTTCTAGTTCAGTTCTAGTTCAGTTCTAGTTCAGTTCTAGTTCAGTTCTAGTTCAGTTCTAGTTCAGTTCTAGTTCAGTTCTAGTTCAGTTCTAGTTCAGTTCTAGTTCAGTTCTAGTTCAGTTCTAGTTCAGTTCTAGTTCAGTTCTAGTTCAGTTCTAGTTCAGTTCTAGTTCAGTTCTAGTTCAGTTCTAGTTCAGTTCTAGTTCAGTTCTAGTTCAGTTCTAGTTCAGTTCTAGTTCAGTTCTAGTTCAGTTCTAGTTCAGTTCTAGTTCAGTTCTAGTTCAGTTCTAGTTCAGTTCTAGTTCAGTTCCAGTTCAGTTCTAGACAATAGACTAGACTATAGACTAGACTATAGACTAGACTATAGACTAGACTATAGACTAGACTATAGACTAGACTATAGACTAGACTATAGACTAGACTATAGACTAGACTATAGACTAGACTATAGACTAGACTATAGACTAGACTATAGACTAGACTATAGACTAGACTATAGACTAGACTATAGACTAGACTATAGACTAGACTATAGACTAGACTATAGACTAGACTATAGACTAGACTATAGACTAGACTATAGACTGACTATAGACTAGACTATAGACTAGACTATAGACTAGACTATAGACTAGACTATAGACTAGACTATAGACTAGACTATAGACGACTAGACTAGACTAGACTAGACTATGACTAGACTATAGACTAGACTATAGACTAGCTAGTACTAGACTAGATAGACTAGACTATAGACTAGACTATAGACTAGACTATAGACTAGACTATAGACTAGACTATAGACTAGACTATAGACTAGACTATAGACTAGACTATAGACTAGACTATAGACTATAGACTAGACTATAGACTAGACTATAGACTAGACTATAGACTAGACTATAGACAGACTATAGACTAGACTATAGACTAGACTATAGACTAGACTATAGACTAGACTATAGACTAGACTATAGACTAGACTATAGACTAGACTATAGACTAACTATAGACTAGACTATAGACTAGACTATAGACTAGACTATAGACTAGCTATAGACTAGACTATAGACTAGACTATAGACTAGACTATAGACTAGACTATAGACTAGACTATAACTAGACGATAGCACTAGACTATAGACTAGACTATAGACTAGACTATAGACTAGACTATAGACTAGACTATAGACTAGACTATAGACTAGACTTATAGACGTAGACTATAGACTAGACTATAGACTAGACTATAGACTAGACTATAGACTAGACTATAGACTAGACTATAGACTAGACTATGACTAGACTATAGACTAGACTATAGACTAGACTATAGACTAGACTATAGACTAGACTATAGACAGACTAAGACTAGACTATAGACTAGACTATAGACTAGACTATAGACTAGACTATAGACTAGACTATAGACTAGACTATAGACTAGACTATAGACTAGACTATAGACTAGACTATAGACTAGACTATAGACTAGAATATAGACTAGACTATAGACTAGACTATAGACTAGACTATAGACTAGACTATAGACTAGACTATAGACTAGACTATAGACTAGACTATAGACTAGAATATAGACTAGACTATAGACTAGACTATAGACTAGACTATAGACTAGACTATAGACTAGACTATAGACTAGACTATAGACTAGACTATAGACTAGACTATAGACTAGACTATAGACTAGACTATAGACTAGACTATAGACTAGACTATAGACTAGACTATAGACTAGACTATAGACTAGACTATAGACTAGACTATAGACTAGACTATAGACTAGACTATAGACTAGACTATAGACTAGACTATAGACTAGACTATAGACTAGACTATAGACTAGACTATAGACTAGACTATAGACTAGACTATAGACTAGACTATAGACTAGACTATAGACTAGACTATAGACTAGACTAAGACTAGACTATAGACTAGACTATAGACTAGACTATAGACTAGACTATAGACTAGACTGTAGACTAGACTATAGACTAGACTATAGACTAGACTATAGACTAGACTATAGACTAGACTATAGACTAGACTATAGACTAGACTATAGACTAGACTATAGACTAGACTATAGACTAGACTATAGACTAGACTATAGACTAGACTATAGACTAGACTATAGACTAGACTATAGACTAGACTATAGACTAGACTATAGACTAGACTATAGACTAGACTATAGACTAGACTATAGACTAGACTATAGACTTGACTATAGACTAGACTATAGACTTGACTATAGACTAGACTATAGACTAGACTATAGACTAGACTATAGACTAGACTATAGACTAGACTATAGACTAGACTATAGACTAGACTATAGACTAGACTATAGACTAGACTATAGACTAGACTATAGACTAGACTATAGACTGACTATAGACTAGACTATAGACTAGGGACTATAGACTAGACTATAGGACTAGACTATAGGACTAGACTATAGACTAGACTATAGACTAGACTATAGACTAGACTATAGACTAGACTATAGGACTAGGACTATAGACTAGACTATAGGATAGCTAGACTATAGACTAGGACTTATGACCTATGACTATAGACGTAGACGATAGGACTAGGACTATAGCACTAGACTAGTAGACTAGACTATAGACGAGGACTATAGACTAGTCTATAGACTAGACTATAGTACTAGGACTATAGACGAGACTAGAGGACTACTATAGACTAGGACTATAGACTAGACTATAGCCTAGACCTATATACTAGACTATAGACTAGGACTAGGATATAGACTAGACTATAGACTAGACTATAGACTAGACTATAGGACTAGACTATAGACCTAGACTATAGACTAGGCCTATAGGACTAGACTATAGACTAGACTATAGGACTCGACTATAGACTAGACTTATAGACTAGACATAGACTGACTATAGACTAGACTATAGACTAGACTATAGACTAGGACCTATAGACTAGACTATGAGCTAGGACTATAGACTAGACATAGACTAGAACTATAGACTAGACTATAGACTAGACTATAGACTAGACTATAGACTAGACTATAGACTAGACTATAGACTAGACTATAGACTAGACTATAGACTAGACTATAGACTCGGACTATAGACTAGACTATAGACTAGACTATAGACTAGACTATAGACTAGACTATAGACTAGACTATAGACTAGACTATAGACTAGACTATAGACTAGACTATAGACTAGACTAAGACTAACTAGACTATAGACTAGACTATAGACTAGACTATAGACTAGGACTATAGACTAGACTATAGACTAACTATAGACTAGACTATAGACTAGCTATAGACTAGACTATAGACTAGACTATAGGACTAGACTAAGACTAGACTATAGACTAGGACTATAGACTAGACTATAGACTAGACTATAGACTAGACTATGACTAGACTATAGACTAGGACTATAGACTAGACTATAGACTAGACTATCGACTAGACTATAGACTAGACTATAGACTACGACTATAGACTAGGACTAAGACTCTAGGACTATAGACTAGACTATAGACTAGACTATAGACTAGACTATAGACTAGACTATAGACTAGACTATAGACTAGACTATAGACTAGACTATAGACTAGACTATAGACTAGACTATAGACTAGACTATAGACTAGACTATAGACTAGACTTTAGACTAGACTACACTATAGACTAGACTATAGACTAGACTATAGACTAGACTATAGACTAGACTATAGACTAGACTATAGACTAGACTATAGACTAGACTATAGACTAGACTATAGACTAGACTATAGACTAGACTATAGACTAGACTTTAGACTAGACTACACTATAGACTAGACTATAGACTAGACTATAGACTAGACTATAGACTAGACTATAGACTAGACTATAGACTAGACTATAGACTAGACTATAGACTAGACTATAGACTAGACTATAGACTAGACTATAGACTAGACTATAGACTAGACTATAGACTAGACTATAGACTAGACTATAGACTAGACTATAGACTAGACTATAGACTAGACTATAGACTAGACTATAGATTAGACTATAGACTAGACTATAGACTAGACTATAGACTAGACTATAGACTA